ATGATGAAATAAATGATACAGCTATTCGTGAGGGATTGGTGCCACAACTGTTAAACACTGGTAAGTCATTCAATTATTTATCGCAAAATACTAGATCATACTGTTACTAATATTTATGAAATAATTGAGATATTTGATTTTTTGACATTCACATTTAACCTGTAAAATATTGAGTATTAATAATATGCTTTCTCCTTTTCCTTGTAAATTCCATACGCACGTTACTTTTGTTGTTAAGAATAATATCAAAATAGCTCGTAATAACATATATACTAAATGTAGTTTATACTCTATCAACTGGTGTCTTTTCTATATTCCAGAAAATGTATGTCCCGTGTACAGAAACACAAAATTGAATAGGCCATGATGAATTTCTTGATTGGTCGATATATAACATCACAACCAAACAAAGATATACACTTACCTCAAGATTAAATAAATTACGTAATTTACAATTTTGCCCAATTGCAGGAAAGAACTTCAAGCCCATATGTACACTCTGAACGTGCTTAAAATGTTACATCGGTTCTTTATGTCAAATGATTTATATACGCAAGCGAAGTTCTTCTGGAATTATCAATATTTGCAAATCGCAAACTTTGTTGAAATATGGGGATAATGTCCCTTACCATCTACATTTTGAACTTTTTGTCGGTCAGTTTTGATTTGTTCTTAGTCGTTTCCTTGATTTTAAATTAAATCACGACTAAGAATTACTAACAAGTCGTAGAATGGAACATCTGTATTATGGAGTTAATTCATTGTTTCTAAATTATCACTGAACGCTGCTATTCACTTATGTAGAATCTGAACATGATTAGATAAGGGACTTATACCTTATCCTCTCAAGTGTCTTCGACATCACATAATCTCTTAATCTATTTACAGGCTGGAAAGCAGTTATCGGGAGATTAGAGGTCAGTGCGTTGTTGACCGGCGTCCTTGCTCTAGTTTTGGTCATCATCACATCTATTACGAAAATATCGTCAAGGCGACAGTTCTTCCTGGTCACGTGCTTCCTTTTAGCAGCACTGCTATCGAGTTCGTCTGGTATGTATTTTACACCCACGCAAATTTGATTTCTTCTGTTAGAAGAACAAGTGAGATCTTGAATGTTATGAACGTCATAAAATGAAGAATTTTATTTCCTGTCATTGTTTCAATTCATGAAAGCAACATCCTTTTTATGGGTTCCATGTTATTGTTTGAAAATATGTTCATTTAAAAAAAAATAGACGTACTGTTGACTGTATGTTTAATGTAATATTTAATTTTTATTTGAATTGCTGCCTTTGTGCACATGATAAACATACAAATGTTGGAACCAGAATGTACAGTACTATTAAACCTCAGTATTCAGTAAATAAACAAGCATTACGTATATGGTAATACTCTAAAACAAGTTCAGCCAACAAGAAAATTGTATACTGATAAATGAATCATTTTCTTCTCTGTAATTCAATCATTTTTAACAGGCAATTAAAGCATGAAATATATAAGTATTATATAGTAAGCGAGGAATTCTATACACAAAACTTTATATAACACTAATTTAAATAAACATAGCCAAGTGTTAAATGACTGTTTTCTTTTCTGGTGACATCAGATCTATAAATTTGAACATTCTAATATAAATAAACAAAGTCAAGTTTTAAATGACTGTTTTCTTTTCTGGTGACATCAGATCTATAAATCTATAAATATTTCCTATTTAAAAATATTTACCTTCGTTCTGAGTATAGCGGACTTTCCATAATAAAATGAAATTCATTTTCAATGTGAGCACAAACACAACAATATCGCCTGAGGTATTGGGTGTGGACGATGCCATCTTCCTGTTTCTATGGTTAATCTATGAGATGACACCCGAAACCTAGTTAAATTTTTTTTAATTGTTTTTATGTTAACACAATCATGATATCTCTTGTAACCTAATTCATTTGTAAAGAAGTATATAACACCTGACCCTTGGTGACACTACAAGTAAGCTGGGCCATTCGTGTGTAAACATGTTCCATACTCTTGATTGAAATGTTTAAAATACATCAATATCTCCGTTTCCTGTTCAAGCCAGTTATAACTAAAACCATGAGTACATAAGACGTATGATATAACGACTGAACAAGAACATTAATTTGGTTTGGTACGATATTTTACCAATATTTAATAATTTTGGTGTACCTGGTCAATGTTTTGTATCTTTAATTTGAAATTGTGCTCAAGAACTGGGAAACATTACACATCAGTACTCCGAATATTGAGGATGAAAATGTTTTTTGGCTATGTGTGAAGATAAAGCTTCAAAGGAATTGTAAGTGTACTGTTTTTGTTTGTGACATTCGAGACAATATAACGTCATCATTAAGCTATAAATATGTATTAACAATGTATCATTGATATATGTATATATGTTTCTGTTTCAGCCATCACTGCCATATTTGGAGTTCGTATTTACACACACAGTTACAAGAGCATTCTAAGCGTTGAGGCTTTTAATCCAGACAACCACGTGCCAACAGAGCGATATGTGCTGTCTTGGGGATTGCATATGTGTTACGCAAGCGGAAGTTTCTATATGTTGTCAGTAATCCTTATCATTGTCAACATCATCAAATCTATTGTATCAAAATCCACAGTGTCGCCAACTTCCGACAATGGAAATTTTTCAGGCTTAGAACACATGCGGTCCAATGCCAAGTTTGAGGATGACAATGGACAGTCTGCAGGCTTAAAAAACGTGAGGCCTAATGCCAAGTTTGAGGATGACAATAGACAGTCTTCAGGCTTAGAACACATGAGGTCCAATGCCAAGTTTGAGGATGACAATGGACAGTCTGCAGGCTTAGAAAACGTGAGGTCTAATGCCAAGTTTGAGGATGACAATAGACAGTCTTCAGGCTTAGAACACATGAGATCCATTGCCAAGTTTGAGGATGACAATGGACAATATTCAGACTCAGAAAACGTGAGATGGGCTTCCAAGTTTGAGGATGACAATTGACAATATTCAGGATCTAAACGTGCGATCCTTTGCCAAGTTTGGGGATGACAATGGACAGTCTGCAGGCTCAAAAAACGTGATTTATTGCCAAGTTTGAGGATGACAATGGACAGTTTGCAGGCTTAGAAAACGTGCGATCTATTGCTAAGTTTGAGGTATATAAACGACCTCTGATACTAGCGAGAAGAATATGGAGAAGATTTCTTTGGAATGTAAGTAGCCATTCGGTATTGAGAAAAGTGCAGTCACGACGTAATTGGAAGTAAAGACACCTGGACTGGAGAGTACACAAAATATATCGGGAATATGAACTACTTACCGATTTGAGATAAAATTCATTGTTTACTGCTACTGGCTGATGTGAAATAAAGAGGGAAACGTTACCAAAATAGAGAATTGAATGAACTATGTCCTACTTTTGGTTATAGAACCATCTGTTAATTCTGCTAATTTATTATAATTTTCTAATCCAAATAAATATATAGAACTTCAAAGTTTAGAGGATTAGATCAACATTTAGTAAAACTCCAAAAGACTTTTACATAGATATATTAATGTAATTAGTTTGTTGTCTACTGCAAAGCATCACTACCACTGAAAATAATGTAACAAATTTTCATGATTTTCTTATCAAGACTACACATACAGCATTCAGTAGCATGTTGCTATCAACCAACTCATCACAGAGAAATAATTAGGCAGCACTTTTTGGAAAGATTTCTGTTATAGTTATATGGCACTGGTTTGCTAAGTGTGCGGTATGGGGTGATGTATGCAAATGGTTTTACCACAGGAAGTAGCCTGTTTGTTAATTATATTGACAAACGAGTGTAGACCCTGAGGTTTTAGGAAATAGTTTATACTTGTGATCTTCGGAATAATGAAATCATCTTTGAAACAAGAGGCTCACGGGCCTTACGGTCATCTGACTATAAAGACCCATATATGAAAGAGGTCAAATGGGCCTAAAATAAATTTCTCAACTACACCACAGCATACATAGAAGGTTAGTTCATACAGACATTTTCTGCAAACTTTAAATCATATTCTTTCTACATGCACTACACAAATGTCATTACTTCGGACATATTGCTTGTCGAGAAAGAAATTTTAAGATCTCAACTCAATTGACTCAAGCGACCTTGAATTTAGGTCAAAGTCAATCATTTGAACAAATTGGTAGCCTTTCATTCGCTTAATGAACCAACATCAACAGTCTGCACATTTTATTGAAAAGATTTTAACACATTCAAACCCTGTGAACATGAACAAAATTGTTACTTCTCCATTCGAGCATACATCCCTACATGCTACAGGAGGGGTTACAACCACTCTGGGCATTTTGATTATTTAGAAGTCATTTAAAGATTCTTTTACTCATCTATCCACTGTGAACTTGAAAATGGATCGAAGTAATACATATTTAACAAGAGGACTAACGGCCTTGACGGTCACCTGAGATCAGTAATATTGAATATAAAGGTTCAAGGATAGTTTTAGAGTGTCATGAAACAGAAAATGTGAAACAGTGTCAATACATGCATTCCATCAAAACTGTCGTCCTTTACTGATAATTCATATGAAGTTATTTCCAGTGGGATATAACAAACGTTATGATCAAAAATACAATTTTCTATGAAAATAAGTAAAGTTTATAAAACATTCCATCCACAGGAAGAAATGTGAGGCTCATTTTGGTAATTAAATCACCTCAAGATGTTTCCATTCATGAAAGCATTTAATAATACCATATCTGGGTCTTGAAAAGAAGATTTTTGGAATCTGAGTCAATTTGACCCCATTTGGTCCCTCCCCTCAGGTCCCTGGGGGTTTGGGCATTTATAATTCACAATTTTGGTTCATCTTAGGCTAGGGAAGGCTTTTGCAAAATTTCATTGAAATTGGATTAGGGGTTTTTGAGAAGAAGTTGAAAGGTGTTATTGTTTATGGACGCAGGATGCTTGATGAGGGGTATTAGAATTGGTCACCTAGAAATTTGGTAGTCCTTCATTCCTGCATGCTACAGGCGGGATATCAGCACTCTGGGCTTTTTAATTATTTAGAAGTTGTTTAAAGATTTTTTTTACTCATTTGTCCATTAATAGTTGGCCTGATAAAATGCCCCTTTTTAACATGATAATGTCCTTCAATTACTAAGATAATAATTATTACTATCTTAATGGCGCATCAACACATAAAAGGTCATCAGGGCCATCAACAAGTGAAACACACAGCGATCCAAAAAGTAAATAAAATCACACAAACTATAAGGTAAAAGACAAATGCTAAAAATCTTAAATGGTTATATTATCACAAAAGATTAAAATGTTAAGTCATATTAGATATTGGCCAAATATGTCTTTTCGTCAAGTGGCTATATCGAAATTTTTAAGTTTTTGGCACTGTAGGTGTTTCATCGTTTTAATATACCAGTGCATGTCAATATGATTTATTGGGGTGAATACCATTTATTTATTTTCATTTCTGTTCATTATGCATAAATTTAATAAACATATTTGATATCTTTTACTTTTGTAAACTGTATAACTCCACGCATCTTGTTCCTTGTAAACAGTCTTAAAGTTACTTTCAGAGAACTTATTTACTCTTCTACCTCCTGTCAGCTTAAAAGCAAATTAATGAACATATTTTCCTGACACATGCTACATTTTAATTGTAGATAAACTGTTACATTATGTAATATAACCCTTCACCTCTTTACCCCTGAAACTTAAGTCATTTGTTTGAACCTAATACTTGTACATAAACTTCAAAATGGACGGCATAAGTATTATCATTATTATCAAACACACGCAAAAATAAACTTAAATGCTTGCACATGGTTAAATTACTTTGGTTTGCTGTCCAAAGCATCACCAAAATCTGCTTATCAAAATTGTACTGGTCGAAAAAAAAATAGCTTGAATCACCGAGATAATAAAAAAGGAGAAGCAAAACGTAGATCGCATTTTTTTAATTTGTCTAGATATACATAGATTCTGATTTAGCTGTTGATATATATCTGTACACACAATACATTATATATACATTGTCAGAAACATCAACTTTACACTCAATCAACATACTGTAAACATACTATTACAGTAAGTTATAAATACAACGAATAATATACGTGACTTTGTCAAACAAGATAAAAATAGAATTACTGTACAGTATCTATAGAAATTAGAATCGAGAAAAGCGTAGACACATTGTAGCAGCATTAGAATAGTTGAAAATCTGATTTAATACATTATGAATATGAACAATTCAAGTTTTCTATTTTCAGGCTTATCTCAACGAAAGGAGAAATAACTGCTATGTACATACAGACAAGAAGTTCCAAAGCTTCTTCATAGTCAACAAAAACCACCACTGTGGCCTAGTAGTCAATTATAAATGTTATTTTTATTTTATTTGTCAAATTCAAAATTATTTAAATATTCAATAAATTACAATGAGATTTGTGTGATGATGCAAGGCAGTCTGGAAATCTGGAGTACTGTCAACATCCATCAGATAATTTTAACTGTTGAAAAGTAAGAGAAAATGGTGCCCATATATCGAAATCACCAGTTTGTGTCTGTCAAGTGAAGTACTTCAACATACAATAAGTCATTGTACAAGGCTCTGTTAGGTATCAAGTCACCACATAATGACAAAAATGTTCAGATGTGAATCTGCATTATGGCTATTCAAGGAAAACATCTCCCTTACCTCAAAACTCCAAATATTCCTTGCAGTGTATCCTGCCTATTACTTCTAAACAAATCATCAATTCAATTCTATGGATGGTACCACTTAACAAAACTTTTGGTCCGAAGTTCTGAGGTGGGATACATGTTTACTATAAAAACCCTTACACAGATTACCTAGTATTCACCTAAGTATCAATTATTGACCCAAGTTAACACAAAAAGTTTTTAAATTTCTTTACTAAATTTAATAAGATTTTTTAATAATTGAAACTTTACTACTGTGAGAATTTAAGTATATAAGCAACATCATTGACTCTGTAAGCTTTGAATTTGGATAAAAAGAACGAAATGACAAAATCTTTGGGTACATACTTTATTCCCATTATCTAGTTAATCACTTTACTTTAAGCCTTAAAGAAACTGAAGTTTACTTTTAATAAATAAAGTTACACATCACGGATCAAATCATTGTAGTCATCATCCTGTAAACTGGAAAATTTTCAGCAGACAATTATTCTATATTTTAGTTAATTTGATAACACACTTTCCTCTCATTTTGCGTTTTGATTTTTTTTCTCTTGATCTGTGATTCTGGCATTTTTAACTCAAAAGAAAACAAAATATTTTCATGCTTTTTAGTAATTTTTTGAAAATTTGTGCCACTTCTAAAAACAAAAAACTGACTCTAAAAATTTTCCAATTTACAATATCATATTAACAAAATATATAACAACACATGTATTTACAGTAATATAATGTTTTGCTACAATGATTAGCTGTATCATAAGTGACATGAATACAGAATATTACGGATCAGATTACACCACTGATACAGAGAGTAAAGACATTTACAATTATACAATATACATATCACAGCAAATGAAATCTGACATATTCATCCATTCCATACTTATACCAATCATATACTGTACAACTTATCATGATGTATGAAATTCAACATGAAATGTATAATTATTTTCCGGTTTTACACGAAATTTTATCTTTTTAACCACTCGCTGTAAAATCATTGATTTTCATGAGGGATTGATTTTCCTTAAAATCGTGGGCACTCTAAATCCAAAATTTCATGGGGGATTTGTTTTCGTTTCAATCATGGGCACTCTAAATCCAAAATTTCAAGGGGGATTTGTTTCTGTTAAAATCATGGGCACTCTAAATCTAAAATTTCATGGGGGATTTGTTTTCGTTTAAATCATGGGCACTCTAAATCCAAAATTTCAAGGGGGATTTGTTTCTGTTAAAATCATGGGCACTCTAAATCTAAAATTTCATGGGGGATTTGTTTTCGTTTAAATCATGGGCACTCTAAATCCAAAATTTCAAGGGGGATTTGTTTCTGTTAAAATCATGGGCACTCTAAATCTAAAATTTCAAGGGGGATTTGTTTCCGTTAAAATCATGGACACTCTAAATCTAAAATTTCATGGGGGATTTGTTTTCGTTTAAATCATGGGCACTCTAAATCCAAAATTTCAAGGGGGATTTGTTTCCGTTAAAATCATGGGCACTCTAAATCTAAAATTTCATGGGGGATTTGTTTTCGTTTAAATCATGGGCACTCTAAATCCAAAATTTCAAGGGGGATTTGTTTCCGTTAAAATCATGGGCACTCTAAATCTAAAATTTCATGGGGGATTTGTTTTCGTTTAAATCATGGGCACTCTAAATCCAAAATTTCAAGGGGGATTTGTTTCCGTTAAAATCATGGGCACTCTAAATCTAAAATTTCATGGGGGATTTGTTTTCGTTTAAATCATGGGCACTCTAAATCCAAAATTTCATGGGGGATTTGTTTCCGTTAAAATCATGGGCACTCTAAATCTAAAATTTCATGGGGGATTTGTTTTCGTTTAAATCATGGGCACTCTAAATCTAAAAATTCCTATGTCCATAAAATGATCATTAGGTTAAACTTGACATGGAGTATAGTACTAGTGGATTTTGAGAGCAAGATTTATTCACAAAATCAACAGGCAATGAAAATGTGTATTTTTGGTAAACCACAAAATTTGAGCCTCGCAAAAATTTATGATTTTACAGTAAATCGAATAAGATTAAAATATTTGTCTACTGATGAGTCAGTTGTATGATTTTTTGTTCATGAACTAAATACGAGTATCAATATGACAATGATATATTTATATATTATAAATGCATTCAGAAAATACATCAAATTGTACATTCTTAAACTTTTCAGACTCGGACAAATGACAGTGAAACACCTGAATTATCAATATTGAAACACAAACGAAGCCAGAGAGATCTTGGAGAAGCTCAGACAGAAAATAAAGCACTGTTTTTTCTGATAATACTTACCATAAATGATCTACTATGGATAGGACTATATCTGCCGAGAATAAAAACCTCAAGTCACGAGGTGTGAAAGTAGTTCTTAAAGGATTATTTTCTACATGAAATGTTTTTCTATAATATCTATAAAAAATGTTTGATTTTTTTTCCCTATTATCACATACTTGACCCTTCCTAAATTGTGTACCTTGTTGCTATATATAAACAACAAAAGAACACATACAGACTTATTCTACCATGGAATGGAAATCATGAAGATCAGTTGATGATGATCAATTTCTGTGTAAAAACTAACACAACTGAACTCTCTACTAATTGGCAGCTACTAATCTGTGAAAATTGGAACATGAAAACATTGGAAACATGACAGATGTACTGATAAGTGACATAAAGATGCATGTCATCTATTTACTCACTAAAAAAAACGATTGTCATGATTACTAGACTCTTTCCTGTTTCATTATTTTCGTAAAGAATAGTTATCCTTTTCGCTTTGACTTTTTGGAAAACTGAAAATTTTGTTCCATCTATCACAAAATCTGAATTTGTACAGTAAATTTGAATACAGAAGAATTATCTGCCAAAATGATTACGCTGTGCTAGACAGAGAATAAGTATCCAAACATTTCATGGGAGATTCTGAAATACCCTCTAAATTCTGCACAATATACACAGGTAATGCACAAAATGGTAGGCATGCATCATCCAATTTCAAAAAGTCTTCATATGAAACAATTTCATTTCAGACATTAAGTTTAAAAATAACACCATCTTTACAAACATCCAAGTGAAAAATCAATTCCTTCATGAAAGGAATTTCATGTGATTTCTGAAAGATGTTTTAGAAATTTTATGCTTTTTATATTGCTAAGGACATCTATAGCAGCATCTCACCTGACATCCTAGACAACATGGATTTTGTCAAATAACTTGTCTAATATGACACTTGGGCAAAATATAAGATTAACCTGACTATTTTGAGATCTTGTAAGACAATTATCTGATTATCTTGTCTTATCCAACACCGTGAGGGACAAACATTGACAGAGTAATTCTTCAAGTTCACATACTGTGAGTACAAATATAGCCAGACAAGCCTGCATACAGTAAACCAATGCCAGATAAACCTTTCTATTCAGACACCTGGTGGGGTAATATAGTGTCAAGTCTTGCTGGAAAGAAGATATTGTCAACACAATTTGTCTCATTTTCAAACCTTTTAGAATACAACAAACTGTAAAACAGTATAAGATGTCCGAATATTCAGGGATTAATTTAGACCGCTTTTTACTGTTTTCTGCACTATAATACAACGGGAATGGAGATGAAAAAAACATATGGATCTAATACTGAAAACCAACTACACATGTTGTTGAAAAGATATAGAATGGAAACATAAATTTCTGAATTAAATGTATAAATCATAACTAGAATGATTTCATTCACACCTGAAACATTGCACATCTCCATTTCAATGACAATTCCTGCTTGTCAGCTATCTTCACTTTGTCTCACATTTTCAACAGAGGTAACACTAGGTGTGAAATAAATAGTTATTTTTAGATATGCTGCAATAATTCCCATAATTACTTAGTGCACCAATTAGCTAACAGAAATGTTACCTGTAAAAAAGTTGAATTACTACATGTACTAGGAAAAATCACATATCAATATTTTCAAATATATCTTGGGAAATATGAATTACGCATTTTGAGAGAAAGGAAATGATGAAATAATTGTGTTTTATACCTTCACATAATTTCAAAGCTTAACTGAATATTTCAATTTTGATTGTATCTTACTGGTGCAAATGTACATTATTTTTAAATGATGTTATATATGTAGCTGGAAGTGTTAGGATTTTGAACATATCAATAAAACAACTATTTAAATAACCATACATATGGCAATGATTTCATCCACTGATGAAGGAAATAAAGCAATATGAAATGATGAAAAAAAATCAATTCTTATCATATCTCACTATCCAAGTCTCTTAAAATAAGGAAAGAAATTTGAAATCACTGTATTCCTGGCATTTTGTACCCATATCATTCTAAAAATGACCTGAATATCAGCTTTCCTTAAATTGCTTCCTTTTCAACAGTGAGAGTCTAGTCAGATGAACATGTCACCATTTTCTGAAGAACTTTCATAAAACGACCTTACAAAACTTACTGTGCAGGTTGCATTTGTCTATCTCACACACCAGAGTTTTCATCTTCTGTATCTTTCTCTATATTTTCATCATCTTTGTTTCAATTCAATTTCACTTCTTTGAAAGACAACCTCTTTCAAACAGCATTAGTACACAATAAATTCACAGGTAATAGCTTGTGGTAAAAAGTAATCACCATGATGAAATTGTTCATTTAAAAAAAAACTAAAAGTTTTCTCCCTCTTTCCTCATAGAAGAGGTTGCTGTTGTGGAGCCTGTTGGTAAAATTGGGGTCCGCCAGGTGCCCCGAGGGGTGGGGGTGCAGGATAATTGTTCTGAATGCTAGACTGCGTCTGTGGGGGAACGTTTTGTGACATATTCTGCATGGAACTCTGGGAAGGATTTGTGGTGACACCAGGTGATGATGTATAAGCAGAAGTCTCCGTTCCACTAGCAACACTGTGAACAGAAACATAAAAACATAGACTAAAACAGGAACAGTAACAGTAGCTTAGAAAATAGGACCATTACCCAAAACCAAAACCTGAACTATAACATTGTTTTATTGCATTTCTTTTATTTCATTTCTTTTTACTTAAAATACTTTATAAACAATTATCAACATAAATTTACAAAAGGGTGTGAAACCACTGATAAATTTAGGCTTTTGCAAAGTCAATCAATTCATCATTAAATATCATGCAAAATATAATCCAAATCATGAGGTCTTATTTCAGAAATTAATTCAAACTTAAAACTGAATTCATAATTAAACTTATCATTCATGAACTGGGGACATCATCAATCTGAATTTGTTTTCATTTATCAATAGGGACAACTTATACAAAAATTACATACTTTGAAAAACTTTGACTGTTTGATGGCACATAAACTTGTGATGGTGGACCAACAACCATCTGTGGAATTTGTCCTTGACCCTGTGGCATCTGACCTTGACCTTGTTGCGATATTTGACCTTGACCTTGGGGAGGCATCTGCATCTGATTTTGCATTGGCATTTGAACTTGTCCCGGCATGTACTGTTGTTGGCCATTGTACATTGACTACAAGTATTACAAAGTTTTAAGTACAAGGTATGAAGCTCAAGAGCAAGAGTATGAAAAACATATCATTTATAAATCAAAACTTTATGATATTATCAAACTTACACACCCTTGTCAAAAGAAAGATATGGACAAGAATAATGCATACAAAATATCTAATTGATAACAAAGAAAAAGTCATGTACAGAGATCATTTGTCCAAAATAGAAATTCAGACAATATGGCACAATTACAGAATTTACTGAACTCTACCTACATGTAGCACACACATGTAAAGGAAAAACTTTCCACACACTTCAATAGAGGCATTCATTTGTTACTCATATAACTTTTGTTGATGAAGTGTGTCAATTCTCAGTTTGAATGAAATAGTGTCCGTACTTGAGATACACTTAATTCTGTTCTAGAGCACTCTTGGCGCACAATGGATATTTACAAAACACTCTGTTTATATAATTCTGTTCACTGTATCAATGAAATTAGGAACATTACAAATACAATGTGGTTTTGGGGATCTAGGTATTTTTATATAGAATTTTATAACAGATTACCAATGATTAGAAAAGACAGACACATAACAAAGATTCATCCTTTTCTTCAAAATGTAGGACATACCACAAACGTTTATCTTAATCTAATTTTAATAATAGATGATTCAGGATTGAATTTTCTTAATTGAAATCACATCCTCAGGACAATCAGATAAAACATTTTCAATAAAGAATTGGCAACAAATATGAATCAGAAGTAAATTGGAGGCTTCAATATGATATTTGGGCGGTACCAGAAATTCCAATAGAATAGTCAGAAGTTGTCTCTGTGAGACAACACCTAGAGATAGAACAGCCAAAAAGACAGAAAACCTGTTAACAACCAATCCAGCAATCGTCATCATGATTTTTTTGGAAGTTATGTACCTGACTAGATAAAGGCTGTGTCATAGACATATTTGGGTGCGAGAAATTCATTGCTCCTGGAGGCACTCCACCCTTAAATGAAGCGTATGGATTTGGGTCCTCCTTCATCAAGTTATGGTACATCTGTAGCGCATCAACCACCTTGGCATTGATCTCACACAGGCTTGCATGCTTCCTGTCATTTATCAAATAAGTATATATTTAATTATATACCTCCGTAGATACAAATGTTTCTATCTTATCAATTAGCCCAGAGAGGGTATCACTATCAGATCTGTCTTATCAATACGCCCAGATTGGGCGACACAATCAAATTAACCTTACCAATAAGCCCAAGAAGGGTAACAATCAATATCTATATTATCAATAAGCCCAGACAGAATTACACCATCATATTTGTCTTCTCAAGAAGCCCTGGTAGGGTAACACAATCAGATCTATTTTATCAATGTCTAGCAAGGTTACATGATCAAACCCATCTTATCTATAAGCCCAGAGAGGGTTTGATATTAACTGTGATTCGCATTAGATAGACTGCCTAGTTTAACTAAAGACAATAACACAGCTATGCCAAACACTGGGTGATCAGGTTGGGCAAGGGCAACACCTTTTACATCTATAGACATCTGTGGTTTGATTTCAGAAAGGGTATGAAAGGAGGTATTATGGAACTCCCCATCCCCACCATCCCCCACCCACCCCCGCAACCCTAGGGTTTTCCTCAGGTACTCTCACAGTATGACCCTTCTTGTCATACCATCCAACCAACAAGAACACTTTATGTCTTCTTAAAGCTTGTTTAGCTATTGTTGTGAGATAAATAAAATTGTATAGACTATATAGGATGTAAGTGGATTGATCACATGGCTTACAGACAGATAAATAAAAAGAAGAAAAATGGAAACATAGTTTGAAAATCTGCACTTAAACATATGTTAAAGCTCTTTGATGTTTTATCATAGAAAATGTTCACCTTTATCATCAAAACAATGAAGTTTCAAAACATCAGCATTCTTTATCGTTAAAATATCTGTTCATGAAATAATACCTATCAATCTTCTCTAATTCTGTGTCTATGAGTGGACCCATTCCTTTACAGGTTTCTGAAAAGAAAACAAAACATTTAGAATTCCACTATAGCTGAACAAATCATTTCTATGCATTTCTATTGTAAGTATATCAAGCTTTTTAAGTAAAACATCTTGATCATGTGCTGTTCATACAAGTGAAAATATTCCAAAATAGATAAAATTAGAGGTCCAATGGGACTGCAGCACTATCCTGGGGTATATATATATATATACAAGCAAAATATCATGTCTCTAGTCCAGTGAGTTCATAGGAAGAAGTCATCTAAATGCTTGAAAAAAATTTGACCCTTTGACCTTGAACATAGGTCAAGGTCATTTTGGTTGCAAATTTTGACAGGCTTCACCCTTGGTAAAATTTGGTCCATTGATTATAGAGAAGAAGTTTTTAAAGGATAAAGTTGACACTGGACGTCGCAAGATGGCACAAACTCATTTGTCCTTTCATGCCAGGTGAGCTATAAAACCTAATCTATTTCAAAATCCCTCATTTTTTAAACACACTTTATTAGTTATGAAATACGATTCTGCACACAGGGATAATAATCAGACAGCTTTGTCCCTACCTTCCAAGCGAAGCATTTCCTCAGAGTCTGGCTGAGTTTCTCCTGTAGGGTCAGCATTCTGTATCAACTGCAATACCTTGTCAATCTTATCCTGGAATCGTGAAAAAGTCCCCAAATTTATATATGACATGGTTGATAGCCAGCAATTAGTTTATCCCTGAAAATGATACTAAAAACTTACAAAATATAAAATGTAAGTAAAATTATTCCCAAAAACAAAGTCTCACTAGGCCTGTATTGCTGATTCTTATATCATCTTTCATCTCATTCTTTTATCATTAATATGTTATAATCCAGCAGTTTTATGGCAATATAACACAATCTGATGCTATCCAGCTGATATTCAACATGTATTTGTCCCTAAGACCATGGAATAGAGGAGCTTCGTTCCAGATATAATTTATTGATGCAATGTAATGAGAAAAATCATTACTGATGATGTGATGTAGTGAGTTTTACAAGCAACAGCTAATGATCAGCTAAAATAAACTATTACAATTAGCAATGAACAAAGCCCAATGTCCAAACATCTTACCTTCTGGTTGAGATAATAACAAAGAGTGAAAGATTCTATTCATCATTAAAAACCGGTGAGAGAGACAAAGGTGTCAAAATTACCTCATTAATGTCCACTTCCTCAGGGGGAACATCAACTGATTTTACCTCCACCTCCTCATTAAACTGCACTTTCTTCTTTTCTTTAGCTATCAAGACAAAAAATGTGTATGTTGTAAAGAAAGAAATCTCACAGAAATTTCAATGACATTAAATTACTGTCACTGAATTACCATCTAGATATGCATAAATCAAGTGTAATTCCTAACTTCAGCTGACCAAAGCAAACCTCAGTTTCCAATCACTTCCTTTGAATATTTTCCTTATTGTACCCCACATGTAGTAGTTAAATGTGAAATTAACTAGAGTATGGAATACATGTCATTTCATTGTTAACAAATTGGAATAGGTAGACCTTTATATCAATTTCTGTTCAGTAAATATTTTACATTAATCTCTAACATTCTGAAAGCCATGTTTCTCCTTTCTTGGCATGAATTAATAGCAGACATATTCAATATTTATAGAATATATCAACATATATGGGGAAAATTCCATTTCATAATTCGATACATATATATATCATTTCCAGTTGAAGATATGTTTTGGCCATTTGATGGCAAAGATCACTAATTCGTGGCTTGAAGAGGGCATAAGTCAAAATTTATCTCTCTTCATGATTTGTTGTTGTCTCCCTTTGTGATTTGTGGATGTCTCCCTTTGAGATTTGTGATTGTCTCCCTTTGTTATTTGTGACTGTCATCTTTTTTCATCTGTGATTATATGTTACATATGTACAATATATATACTATTTGGAATATTTAAAGTTCAGCCTAATATTATGACAACCACTTGGTGTCAGAGTAACTGACTGACCAAGCATGCTAATGCTTTGTATTTTGACCCAGTCACCTGATGTAGGAAAGTGACTTACAATCTTCTGGTTCCACAGAAAGGTCCGCTGTGACAAAGTTTGCAGGGAACAAACCTTCTCCTCGTTGGTTAAACCCTTTCCACCAATTGTCATCGCTAAAAAAAATCACAAACCAATGTATAGTTTCAGATCTGTACATGTTACAGTAGTGTAAAATAAATTTAAATAATGCTGCAAAGTTTAAAACACAGTATAGTTACACCTATTATGATTCATGAAAGCTAAAACAAAGACTAACAAAATGAAAATTTACACCAGTTTACAATATACTGTGAATCAGTTTTTAAGTAATTTGCAGAATCTTGAGTCTACATGGATAAGTGGTACCAGCACAACACGTCAAATTCAGACAGAATTAGATACAGAACTAGATGGTTGTGCTCTATATCATTTTTGACAGCATCATTATTCAATTTCATGACAGCTAAAGTGATTCCATATCTATTTAATGCTTCTACCATTTTATAATACCACAGTTACATAATCACATGTTATATTAACATATCAAATTTCACACATAGGAGAATACCTAGATGGAATAAACAAACCTGTCATCTGTAACGCTGATGTACTCTCCTGATTTGAAGGTCAGTTCATTATCTTCTGCTGCCTCAAAATCATACAGAGCTCGAACCTGCACCGAAAAAAACAAATCATAGATAATGTATTGCTTTTACTGGGAAAAACTGCTAAAATGTACTGAACTAGATAAATGTCAAAGCTAGAAGACATTTAAGCCTAAAGTCTAATGAGCAAGTTTTTTATTGCAAAAGTTGTCAAATGTGACCATCAACATTTTTACTCCATCAGACCCTAATAAGGTTAGAAAATTTTGTTAGAATTTACTATGGTGCAGATTTGTTGAGGGTTTCATGACACATCTTGTACAAAACCTTTTTATTGCAAATATTTTGATCATTTAATCCAGAATGATGACCACCTGTTCAGATGTGAAAATAGGTATTATGACTTCTTAATAAATATGGTGTGAATCTGAACCAAAATCTGTTCATAGTTTCATAAAATATATTTTGACCAAGACCTTTTACAAGTTAAAGTGATGAAATGCAATCTCTGATGACCCATAAATCTTGACCAATGACCACAATAATATACTAAGGTATTGAGCTTCATGTCCTGACAGAACCACATCTGTTGAGAAGATATTACATTGATTTGGAACCTGATGTCACAGGACACAGTAGATGGACACTTTGGAAACTCTTCTTGAACTCTCAACCCATTAAACGGCTGGGACATACAAAACATGCTAATTTACAATATATCTGTTTTATACTGAACATGTGATGAGACGGACAAAAAAGAATGACATTTGAATTGTAGTCCTGTACCACATGAATAAAAAGTTTTCATAATACCACAAAATAAAATAGAAAGTTTTCATAATAACACAAAATAAAACTGAAAGTTTTCATAATAACACAAAATAAAACAGAAGGTTTTCATAATACCACAAAATAAAACAGAAAGTTTTCATAATAACACAAAATAAAACAGAAAGTTTTCATAATAACACAAAATAAAAAAAATTTCATAATACCACAAAATAAAAAAAGTTTTCATAATACCACAAAATAAAACAGAAAGTTTTCATAATACCACAAAATAGAAATAAAAAGTTATATCAGCCATTAATTAGTCTACATTAATCGAAAATTTACTGGAAATGAAATCACTTTATTAAGAAGGTAAACTTTTGTCTTTATTTTGTTTATACATACCTTTCTCACCTCTCTTGGCTTACTGATGCTGGCGTATGTGGCTGAGTCAGAGGGTAGAGAGTACCCAGTAGGATAAAGGGATGTTGTCTTTTGAGAAGCATTTTTGTCAGACTCCTGCAGTGACAGTGCGATAGCTGCAACAATAAAAAAGAAGCATCAGAGACCACACACTGCATTTCTTAAAACATCAAGTGTTTCTTACAGACAATTATTTATGGCTTATCAACCCTTTACCGAAGAATTTCGTGTTTTTCCACATCATAATTTTTTGGGGGGAAGGTATAAAAAGCCTAGCTGTCTGTGTGACGATAATCTGTTCCCTTATTCTATTGTTTGAGTATTTCACTTTTGAAATTGTCTCATTCTGACTAGTTTTGAAATGTCATATAACCGTAGACGTGTTTCATCCAAATAAGATATCTTATGATGTGAAAATATCGAATGTGACACTGACACGTGATATTTATGTAATGATCGATTGCAACCAGATTATACAAATACAGTAGGTTTAACAATATGTGTGTTTTCTATATAGTACCATTAAAACAGCTTAATTTTGTTTCCCATCATGATATACCATCATATTAGAATTTGTATTCAATCTAGATAACCATTTTTCCCACTAGCGTCGTTCTACTGAAGGAAACGCAAATTGATTAAAAAAAAATGAAAAAAAAATTCTAAGAGATCTGGTGGTTATATTATTTTTTATATTATTTTTTAAGAATCAAACATGATGTGGTACTTACAACAAAATATTTATGGAACTAAAGTGATAAATCATTACAGAGGCTCCTGATGAGAAGTATTTGCAACATTGCATAAAAAGCAGGAGATGAACTGAAAAAACATGGCATTTGAAATTGTACAACATCAATCTGAAAGTGAAACTGTTATTTAAAACAGATGTATAGAAGGCATTTACATCTGTAATACTATTTCATATTATAGCCATTCAAATAATCATAACAAAGTAACCAGAAGACAATAAGCAATTCTGTGTTCCATCCATCGCTGTCTTCAAGGGAGATTACTCTATGAAAATAAAACTTACCTTTGGCAATATCGTCCTCCTCCTGCTGATTACTGACAACATTTGGGTCGGAGCTGACTGTCGTTCTCTTAGGCTACAAGTCAGCAAGAAATTCAATATTACAGAAGACAGTACCATCAATTTATATGCCAAACTGCAAAAGGAAAACTGAAAACAAATGTTCTCAGAGCTGAAATAATTCCCAGAATATTCACTGAAAATTTCACATTAATTTAATTGAGTCTCCACAGGCAATGCTGTGACTGACTCATACTGAAGGAAATATTTACAATAAAAATTTGAGAGAAGTCTTGTTTCTGACATCTTCTTTTCATTTCATTCCATATTTTCATGTATTTCACACAAGTTTCTTTCAATCTGCTTTATACATGTATATCATCAATGCTCACTTTTGATTTTAAAATTCATTTGGAGAAGAAAATCTAATGTAATCAAGGAAAATCAAAGAAAGTTGATAGATGTTACATTACCAAGGTTTTGACCTACAACAATGATTTGTTAACAATTATACCCTCGCAGCAACTGCGGAGGGGATATAGCCTTCTGTTTGTACGTATGTATGTCACATTTTGTCATCAATCTAGCAAATTCATTTCCAAACTGATTTTGATCAACTTTACATATTGGTCACCTATCATAATACCTTGAATAATTTTGTCTTTCAGTATACCAGGGTCAACATTAAGATCACTGTTACTATCTATAGAAAATCATCGCTATAGTAACTTCATTTCTGAACAGATTTTGATCAAATGGGACCAAGGGGATTTGTATCACCTGAGAAGCCTTGTTTATAAATCACTGAGGGACACAGCAATTTGTGAACATTAAATACCTGATTGCTTATATCTATGTTTGCTAAAAGGAAAATACATTTCCTACGCCACACAGTGATTAAAGAAACGACTATAGATAAGGTTTTTTTTTATGTTTAGAGCATAGTGTCACATATGAGAGAGTGATGGAAAAGTCAGTGTCAGCAGGGGGCACTCTTTGGGGAAAACCCTTTTTTAACTTTAATATGAATTTGTGTAGTTTGGTGAACTCTACACTTTGTTAACAGTGCCCATTTTAAGTACCCTAATCAGCACGTGTATTTGTCAGGCCCATGAGTGAGTGTTATTATCAGGACATATGGGTTCTTATGATAGATAAGCAAAGAATTACTTTTTTCAAAAAAATATCAAATTCCAGAGTAGACAGGTTACAAATAGAAGGCAGTTATTGTTCAGGAAATGTGATGAATGTTGCCATTCTGATAAATGCAGTCAGATATTACAAGATGTCATTAAAGTTGAGTACACTACATCAAGTACATTTCAAAGTTTTTTAAAGTTTATTTTCTAAAAGGAAGACATTAAGTAGTAATCTTTACTTTGGCCAACGAGAAAAACACACTCTTTTTGATTATCTGTTCATTGTGTTTCGAATAGCAAAATATTCAATGAAAACTACTAGTGAAGACTGATTGTAAAATTCAGTTTTAAGGGAAAGAGTAGAGCAAAAAAATAGGCAGGGAATGTTACAGGCAGAATTTGTTTAAAGTCTGTTAATGATAGATTGACATGCTGTAAATACTCGAGAAAGTAGAATGTCAGTTCTAAATACCTGAACTCTAATCTGAAACATAATTGATCACATATTGAGCCCTTATGTCATGACTATGTGATGGTAGATTTCAGATTCACATTCTAGTTCTAAACTCAGATTCAATAAAAATAGGGCAAAGTATGAACAAATTAAAGAAAGATATACACAAAGACTCTTGAAAAAGGTATAAAGACAATAAGACTGGGTGTTCCGGAATAATAAGCATCTTCTGCTTCATGGACGACATCTGCATTGACGATCTTGGTCAATCCAAGTATAAAGTGTCATGTTCTCAAATGATTAAAAAGTTATACAACAATGAAGCTAATGGGAAAAACTAACGAACATCAAATACGTCCAGCTGCTTATCACACAAAGAAATAGAATATTTCTCAATGAGATCACCATGACAGCCATGAATTTGTTTTTAAAAAAATCACCTTAATTGAATTTCATATACTGTGGTCTGCTGTTAAAAATAATGCAATTTAATAAAGTACATTGATAGAACTTTGTAAAAATTTTAAAAATTACAAAACAAGCTTTTTTTCTTGTGAATACTGATGACTATAATAATGTTCAGTAAAAAGTATTAAAAAGCTTGTGTGGCAAAATCAATTTAATCAATAGTCAAGAAACTTTTCACTGTACAACTGAATAAGCTATTTAGAGTACAGCTGAATAAACTATTTAGAGTACAGCTGAATAAACTATATAGTGTACAGCTGAATAAACTATTTAGAGTACAGCTGAATAAACTATTTAGAGCACAGCTGAATACACTATTTAGAGTACAGCTGAATAAACTATTTAGTGTACAGCTGAATACACTATTTAGAGTACAGCTGAATAAACTATTTAGTGTACAGCTGAGTAAACCATATAGTGTACAGCTGAATAAACTATTTAGATGCAGCTGAATGAAGTATTTAGAGTATAGCCGAATAAACTATTCAACATACAATAATGAATATTTCTTAAACTATACAAGTGAGATAAAATCATTAGTTGTAATTATAGATATCATAGTGGATCTAACTGTCAAGCCAAGGCTCTTTTACATCTCAAATTTCGAGGCCTCGTCACATATGGGAAAATAGGCAGATACAGAATAACCCTTATTACTCTTAATAAGTGATATTAATTACAGTATCTCTAATCTCATGTATACAATTCAACTAGTCCAAGGGCCACAAGCTTTTAGGTCCCTTGTGACTCTTCATAATCACTTGATTTTTACTTACATATACTTTCTATCAAGAGTCACTTTAATGATTAATCATCAAGAAATAATCAGTGTGTGAGAGAAACATACAAATTGTATTTTTCTTAAACTTCAAATATTTTAATCTTATGACAACATACCGCTCCATCTGAATCTGGGAAATCATGACCGTCACTTTTCAGACTATCATAAAATGATGGTATCAGACTGAAAAACAAAAACAACTTTATAAAATCACATAATAACTACTGCTGTTACTTTTGGATCATATGGATGGCTACTCTAGCTTTCCTTTTATTTCATTATCTGTGATTCTAGTCATACATATACCTTATCATTTACATAAAAAATTCAAAATTGTAAATGTGTACAAAGGATTTTACTTCTTTCAAATTAAAGGAAAACCTTACTCAATAAAAGATCAGAGTCAACATTTCAAAGTCAATGATATATAGTGTTCACTTCTTCAAGAACTAGGTACCAGTTACAAAATAATTTTCCATAGAGCCAGCTGCTGAAGTACAGACGTAGAATAAATTTAGCAATACTAATATACTGCTTTATGTATACAACTGATGTTATGGAAAATAATTCAGGAGTGATACCTATGTAGAAATCAGTAACAATATTTCGGGTACCTTAAGGCGGGATCATTTTTAAATTCTTTTGATTCAGCCCATTTCTTTATCAAACCCTTTAATTTCTCGGACACTTTTGGATGAGCCTAAAAAACAAAACAAACATTTTGTTACAAACAAACCATAGTTGATGCTAACAGAATATTCCCTGACTCAGGGATATTAAACTTGTTTTTGAAACATTGAAATACCAGATTTAAATTGTTTGGTTGGTTGACAAGATGATCAAAATAGCATATTAAGTTGCTGTGTAACATCTCACCAGTTTCATTGGCTTGGTTCATTATCCAATGAACAGCCAAGTCATGATGAGGCAGGGTCTCCTTGAAGAAGCTGGTGGCTACATATCTGAACAACATATGAAAGGCCCACTGCATGCCATTCAGAGCAGCTGGGGTTAAGCGTTTTGCCCAAGGACAAAACTGTGACAGCAGAGACTGGTCCGTCTCTCTGCTTCCTGAGAAAGACAAACCACCAGTGCACCTCACACATTCAGCTGAGGTTACAAACGTACTATTGACTGCACTATTCTTGACCCTGAAACACCTTCTACTGATATACCTAATCTTTCAGAACCACAGACTGTCTAATTATAGGTAATTCATTATCCACTCTGATAGCTGTATATCACACTATTTTAAAGGTAAAAACATTTTTCCTGTTAAAGGACAATACATAATTTGATAAGCATTAAGTATTACACAAGAGTTCCTCAGAACTGTATGTGTTGTCTGCATAAAGTGTCACAGTCACCCAGAAATCAAACTGGATGTGCAACGTTCAACCATAAAGTTGTAATATCCAATTTCATTTCTATAACTTAAAGCATAAAGGGAAAACTGCGCAAAGCAATATTCCTGAGAAATTTTCAAAGTTCAAAGCGGCATAACTCTGCCCAGAAATTCGTGAATCGAACCTTACCTGTAATGGTCGACCATAAAGCCCTTTTTTCATATTTCATTTTAAAAACTCTAAGCATAATCAAGAAAAGTACAAAAAACCATATTCTCGAAGAATTTTCAAAGAGGCATAACTCTGTAAAGAAGGGTCACAGACAGACAAGAATCATAACTAATCTGTACCCTTCCAACAAGAAGCCATATACCAAATTTCATTTTGATAATTCAAAGCATAACCAAAGAAAGTCCAGAAAACAATATTCCCAGAGAATTTTCTAAGTTCAAAGGGGCATAACTCTGCCAAGAAGGGACACAGACAGCTGGAAATCGAACTTAATCTGTACCCTTCCAACAAGAAGTCATATACCAAATTTCATTTTGATAATTCAAAAGCATAACCGGAAAAAGTCCGGAAAACTTTCGTACAGACGACGCCTACGACAGATAAAGTGATCCCTAAGTGTCCGCCAGCTCTGCAGGCGACACAACAAGGGAGAACATTAGGCTAATATGTATGTTACTGTCAATTTCATTTCAGCATCTCTCTAAAAAATTTTGAAATCGTATTCATCAGCTTATTTACCTTCTGACCAATCAATGTTCGACATTCAGAAATGAAATCTCTGGAGGATATCTCCAAATGAAATGGGCGCCCACAGTTGTTGACAGCAGCATCTAACAGCTGAAACAAAATTCAACAGTTTCTGAACATCAATATCACTAATATCTCCTACTTTTACTATTCATTTATGGTTCAATAATTCAAAGAGAATTATACAAAGATCTTTGAAGGAGTAAAAACTGCCTGTTTTACTTAAAAAATTATGAATGTAAAACAACTTGCACCTTCATAAAATGGGAAAATATAACAGGATTATCTAAAAAATGTGTAAATATTCTTGCATTTGGCTTTGTTTTGGGGAAATTACACACAATTTGATTGGGGGAAACAGCCTTGTTTTCAACAGTAAAACTGGACCAAAATATCACTGAAAATTTTCTTCATCTATTTCTAAAGGAATTTGAGATCTTCATACCTGATATACATAGATGTATGTACAATACATCTATCTTTTTTACTACATACATAAAATATTAGACAGTGTCAGTAAACAAACCTTATCCACAATTAATGTAATAATATGTGCATTTAATACTAATACCATATATTGGTCCATAAGAATTTTTTTCTGGAAATATACTTGTACATTTGACTGCCACCTCATCAAGCTTTTGATAGCAATAATTCATGACAATCAAAAATTGAAACTGTTTTCAACATTGTGAAACACTTACAGTTAAAGCCTGCATTGATACTATAGGGACAATATGGTTTAAACGCTTCACTATAGACCTCAAACAATCCCTTGGACTGGAAAAGAAGACAAAAAATTAGTAAAAGCTGTTTCTAATGTATAGTACACAATACATGTTTCCTCTTTGAACAAATTTTAATTTTATTTTTATTTTTCAACCAAGCTACAAATGTAATAAGTCAGGCAACATAAACAATGGAAATGCTTCAAAGTCTGTAATTGGCATCATTGATACTGCTGTAACAGATCTAGAGGTCATAATTTATTTTAATACTTCCATCCGGATTTGAACCAGGACCTCCAGGTCACTAGTCTTATGCTCTATAGATCAAGAGATTTTTTCTAGCTAATTTCCAGGGTTACATACTTCCCCTCCAGAAAAGACCTAGAGTTTCCCAGGGTCACAGTGATGCTAAAGGGTATGATTATGTAATATTTCATAGTACAGAAAAAGACACCAATGGAAAAAGACTTTTTATTGATATAAATTTGTTAGAATTCAAGTGCATGACCCCTGGTTTATTGGTCTTATGCTCAAACGAATGAGCAAAACAGAGATATCTCTAAATAAGCAGTATGTTGCGGCAAGTATTTACCAGCTCAGGGTTATAGATGAATGAAGTGTCTTCTGTTGAAAATTTTTGCTACGTAAACAAGCATTTCAATATCTGATGTTATAATAAGAAGAAATACATGTACGTTATGAATAATGGGCTCACTGTAAAATGTAATTAATTTCTGCAAAAAGATCACAGACAAGGACTGAAAATATCTGCATAAAAAAAAGAAAAACGTAATAAAATATAGCAAACTGGGTCAACACACATTATCTGATTAGTGATTATTACAAAGTAGACTTATTATGTCATGAAACACTGTACAATGTATTTATATTGTTGAAACTCTTACCCATTTGGCTTTGTGTTCACTTGGTCAACAATATCCATGATCAATCCCCAGTCTTCAGCAGTGTTCATCTCACTAGTGGCCTTTTCTGCAAGTGAGAAAGTCATTGGAAAAATAGACACATTTTTTTTCTCACTCAGTCAACATTCTCATTTCAGGGAACATCAATTTCAAAATTTTTATTAAATCTCTTCTTTCTGTGCTGAGGAAAACTTTGCATGATTTTAACATAATCATTAACACATTAACATTGTTAGATATACACGTGCTTGAGCTATAACTATGGATACTTCTTCTAATCAGAAACTCGTAAAACTACACCATAGACTCAACATCAGGACAACACTCTTTTGCTGTCGGAATATATAAAAATGAAAGGAATGCTGTACCTTTTATGTGTTGACAGGCCATTAAGAGTGTCATAATAATAATAACTGTACCTCAAAATGTAGTAATTTTTATATAAACACAAGAAAGAGCCTTAAATCCAACATCAATAAACATGAAGAATTGTACAAGTATAGTGAAAAGTAGCACTCCCCACTGCTTGTAAGAAGTAATGATAATGTATACCATTATGAATGTAGTGTGTGCATGTATTATAATGTTGTAAATTGATACATGTGGATAATGACGTTGTTGTTAAGAAGCCTGACATTATCTTTTGTATATCTGTTATATGTATTATCTGAAAACAAGATATTTTAAGAATAAAAAAAGAAACAGAAGTAACAACCAATTTGGATAAGTCTGTAAGTCAAGCAGAGATTTGAAAAAGTATTTAATAACTTTGCGTGTAGACTAGTATACATGTAGGCTAACTGAACATTTGCACTCCCACCAAAGTATTGAGAGAGATATTGTGAATGCAAACAGAAACAAAATCCAGTTGATGTCACATAAATATGGTCTCTTGAGTTAAAAAAAACATATAGACAGAAGATCTGATAAATCAAATTAGTGGAAAGATGAACATATTTATATGTACAATCATGTAAATTGATTCTATTTATTACAGACTTGAACTGATACTCATATGATAGGTGTTTGACTAACAGTATTAATCTTTCCCTTGTTTCCTTTTTTTAAGTTTCCGATTGCAGTTGATGACTCTACAGTAAATAAAAAGCCGCATAGAAAACCGTGGATTTGACATCAAGAGGTAAATAAAAAAAGAGGAAGTGAATGGTGACATTATATTTTGAATGGAAATCACGGATGGCACCCGTGGTTATTTGTTAAAGCTATACAAAAGCATTTTCAGACAAAAAAACAAATCATATTTCTTCACCAAAATTTTTGTTTCATTTTTGACAAAAGCAGTTTGGTTACATACACATTTAAGAATATATATCGATGTCGTCACTGAGGGATGTGACTGTGAGCATTGTGTCAGTGAAATGCGTGTTAGTCTAAATATAGCTATTTCTTCCAATCCTAAGCTTGAGAGAAAAACTACCACGTTTAATAAATAATAAGCCAATGTTAAATTCAGGTATCATAGGATGAATACTTAACAAAAAAGTTTGAAGAAAAGAGACGACTTGATAAACACACACCCGCGGACAAAGCTGATCGTTTGTATACAATGTTGACATGTCATACAGAATGAAGGAAATAAAGGTTCGATTTCAAGAGCACAATGAAACATTTTATGTAAAGAACGACCTTAATCTACTCTTCAGTGCGCCATGCTTACCGACATCCTTGTCGAAAGGCGTTGAACTCGCAAACAACGGCATTTTCTTGCTTTTAATCAGCTGTTGTTCTCCTTTACTGCACCATAATATCAACCGGAAGCTTTGAAATGATGACGCATGCGTATAAGTGATGATGTCATGTTTTCTTCCGGCTATCAAGCACGTGAGGATGATTGGCCAGCTAACAACGTAAGACAATCTTTCTCGAAGACAAGGCTGTGCAGAAACATTGCGAAATTGTTATTAACTCTTATTCTTGCACCTGCAATGTCTTCTCCAAATTATGCTGAATTAAAATCCGACATACGCATATACTGTACTCTTTTTTTTTAATATGAAAAAATAATTATATACATGTACGTCTCTGTTTTAAAGCGGAAATCAAAGATCTATAGAAACCTTGAGTAAATATTTAGGGGCTATACGGGATAAAGAATAAAAGAAAATCTGCAATATAACCAACATTGTAATATTTTACTCTTGATATTATAAATCAGCTATAAATAACATAATATAGATTTGCCCCCCCCCCCCCCCCAAAAAAAAAAAAAACTATTTTTAAAAAAGAGAAACTGACATTTTTTAATTTCATGTAGTGCTTTGAGTATACATTAAGCTTCTTTAACTGTGACATTGAAATTATTTTTTTACACAAGGCCACTGGTACATTCACATTTAAAAGGTGTTACTGTTAATCAGAGCAAGCAAATCTTTGAAGAATCTAATGCATGTTTTTAAATCTCTTACTGAAAATCAGAATTGGTTAGATAGATCTGCAGATATAGCTTCAAGTTTTCATGGTGTAAACTTATCACGTGCAATTTCGCGGCTGATTCTGAGTAAATAAATAATTTTATTTCAAGATGAGAAAATAACCGTTCTTCAAAATGACGGACTTCCAGTTTTTCCGGTCAAATTAAAACATGGTTAGAATTTTAGCAACCCGACTCCATTCATTATTTTCACATGTCTTGTACGAAATGGTATGTCTTGGTAGAATGATATGCATAGAAAATAAATGCAAGGGTGTTTAAGCATTTGATTATGACATTATTAAAACAAAATATATTGTAATATCGTTTGATTTGTGTTTAAAACAGCTTACAATCCCACCAACGAGCCAACGTTTTGGCATGATTATCTATATATTGAGGCCTTATAGACAAACGATAAACATCAAATCGATTTTAATTTCTGTCTATTGATTTCAAATGCCCGTTTTGCCTGTTATCCTGAAATGTATTAATTTTCTTAATTCATGGCTATCGTTCTATCACAGGGATTTGACGCGGGCACTATGATACATGTATATATGGATCATGAGTTGGAAGAGCGTACCAAGTCCTTGTGTATCCACGGCCATTCGATGTTACTGGGAGCTCTTTGTGCCCCTATCTATGTCACCCACAAATACCCTGGGAGCTCTTTGTGCCCCTATCTATATCACCCACAAGTACCATGGGAGCTCTTTGTGCCCCGATCTATATCACCCACAAGTACCATGGGAGCTCTTTGTGCCCCTATCTATATTACCCACAAATATCATGGGAGCTCTTTGTGCCCCTATCTATATTACCCACAAGTACCATGGGAGCTCTTTGTGCCCCTATCTATATCACCCACAAGTACCCTGGGAGCTCTTTGTGTCCCTATCTATATTACCCACAAATATCATGGGAGCTCTTTGTGCCCCTATCTATATTACCCACAAGTACCATGGGAGCTCTTTGTGCCCCTATCTATATCACCCACAAGTACCCTGGGAGCTCTTTGTGTCCCTATCTATATTACCCACAAGTACCATGGGAGCTCTTTGTGCCCCTATCTATATCACCCACAAGTACCCTGTGAGCTCTTTGTGTCCCTATCTATATCACCCACAAATACCATGGGAGCTCTTTGTACCCCTATCTATATAACCCACAAGTACCATGTGAGCTCTTTGTGCCGCTATCTATATCACCCACAAGTTCGACTTTGAGATGCTTGGATGTTGCCATGTCTGATTGTACTATATTATAAGAGAGATATTTTACTCTCTATCAGCAAAAATTGATTGCACGTGCTGCTCGTGTGAACTATTTTACCATGAAATTGGAAACTAAGGACCCATGCATTGTGTACCTAACACTACACAATTAGTCTGGGAGGAACTTCGTATTTGTAGTTAAAACACACATACTATTGCCATCTATACATTGATGATAAACACATGTACACAAGTCATATGTTACAAAATTCTTTTAAAGATCCGATAAGTTACTCGTTGAATCCTACAGACATCCAGACGATCCCAAACAGCTGTATGGGGTAGCATCACTAACGAGTCCTAGAAGAACGGAACAGCTGTATGATGTAGCATCACCGACGAGCCCTATAAAAGGCGAAACAGCTTTATGATGTAGCATTAATGACGAGTCCTAGAATGATGAAATAGTTGTATGATGTGGTATCACCGACGAGTCCTTGAAGGACGAGAAAGCTGTATGATGTGGCATAACTGACGAGTGCTAGAAGGACGAAACAGCTGTATGATAAAGTATCATTAACGAGACTTAGAAGGACGAAACAGCTGTATGATGTAGCATCACTGACGAGTCCTAGAAGGACGAAACAGCTGTATGATATGGCATCACTGACGAGTCCTAGAAGGACGAAACAGCTGTATGAGGTAACATCACTGATGAATGATAGAAGGACGAAACAGCTGTATGATGTAGCATCACTGACGAGCCCTAGAAGGACGGAATGACTGTATAAGGTAGAATCACTAACGAGTCCTGGAATGACGAAACAGCTGTATGAGGTAGCATCACTGACGAATGATAGAAGGACGAAACAGCTGTATGATGTAGCATCACTGATGAGTCCTAGAAGGACGAAACAGCTGTATGATCAGTATCATTGACGAGTCTTAGAAGAATGGAACAGCTGTATGATGTAGCATCACCGACGAGCCCTATAAAAGACGAAACAGCTGTATGATGTAGCATCACTGACCAGTCCTAGAAAGTTGAAATAATTGTATGATGTAGCATCACTGACGAGTCCTAAGAAGGACGGAACAGCTTTTTAGCGATATTTTAAATACATAATGTACCTGGCCCCACTTGTATAAAACATCTCAACTTGAGATTTCCTCAAGTCGAGATTTTCCTAAGCTGATATCTCCTCAAAAACGGCTTGTATAAAATTTTCTCAAGGAACAGGAGGAAGGCATCGGTTAGGATTTCCTGAAATTCCTTGCGGAATTTTCATACAATATGTTTTCAAGGAGATATTAGCTGAGGAAAATCTCGACTTGAGGAAATCTCAAGTTGAGATATTTTATACAAGTGGGGCCTTGTTGATATTTTCTGCATATTACACTACCTATTTCAACAGACAGCGCTTTTTTTTTTAACTAAAACGCTGCTCAACTAGTTATCATTTGGTGAATCTAGATTCCATGACATTCTAGTGTTTCATCTCGTGTCCTTGGATCTCGGCTATATAGCTGCCTTCGCCCCATATACCCACTACTGGGACTTCGCCTCTGGCCTCTGAACAAGCGACTTCCTCCCCTGCACCACCAATTCATCGTAGTAACATCAAAATCATTTGGTTACACGCCTGCTGTTCATCTCACAACACAGAGTTGCAAGAGATACATGTCGATATCCTGATGAAGTGATCTCCTTGGTAACTATTCTATTGCCTTGTGCGATATAAAGTTGCACGTGCTTGACACTCGTTAGTATACCCGGTGGTTCCGTTTTTATTCCCGCGGATCGAAAGATCAGGGGTATTTTGTTTTTGTGCTGTTTGTTTGCTTGTCTGTTGTCCATTTCAACCCTGCCCATAACTATGGCACCATAAGAGGTAGGGCTTTCATATGTGGCATGTGTCTTCCTTGTGACAAGACCTTTCTCCTGGTACCAAAGTCGTCATGTGATTTTAGTTCTGTTGCAACCGGGGGGCATAGTGTTTCATAAGCACATCTTGTTCAACTTGTTCTCATCCGGAAACGCGACATGTGTTACTTTGACCAAGATAATACTGTTGGCGCTGTCAATGAACCAGATATTTACCTTCTGGAACACATTGTCTTATGGTTCCTGATTTTGTTCAGATTCTACGTGTATTTGTTTTCTTTTGTTAATGTTTTGCCATAATTTCATCGAATTTCCAATTTTGGGTAGGATTCTGTGGACTTGCTGGTATTTTCTTTGTTGTTGTTTTTTAACCTTGTTGTACGCCATTGACAAAGACAAAGCAGTTCGGACTATATTGGCCTTTTGATAGCATTTAATCTGTACCTGTAGGAGTGGCACAATTTACACTAAACTCGAATTATATCGGACTTCGAGCAAAATAACATGTACTATGAACGTCGTCTTATATCAATATATACTCTATGTGCTTTCAAATTAGGTTTTGATTTTAGGCATCAAATGTACAGTATTTGAATGAGATAAGATAACACGTTAATAGAACATTTCATGACTACCGTCATACGTTCACTCCATGTTCATTGTCATATGTTTCTACCTAAAACATTCCCAAGGAAAGAGTGGCTACTTATTTAGGCTGGTATCAGTGATCATTCCCTGTTTCTTCTGTCACCTGTCAACATGAACGCCCTTATTCTAGGTGCTCTTGTCCTTGTTATTGTTGGTAAGTTTTTTTAATTTTAAGTCGGAGGATTAATAGCAGCCAAAAAAGTAGAATATTTGATATTGTCACATTTGTTTTATTCGAAGCTTTAATATGTTCTTGTTTATATCATGAAAACCCATTTATGAAAACAACCTCTGAATTTCCCTTGCATTAAGCCTCTTTGATTTCAAAGAGAAGACATCGAAGCAACAGACAGGTTTCATGCAGTAGTGTCATGTGTAAAATGCAATACATGCACATATGGCATAAACCCCGTCTGACTTCGATATATTCTAGTTGAAATCATGTATTCCTATTTACAAGGGGCCGCGGTGGTTGTGTGCTTTATCTTTAGCCCTCCACCTGTGGGTTGCGGGTTCGAAACCTACTTACGTTTGGCAGTCGCCAGGTAATGGCTGCAGACCGTTGGTTCTTTTTTG